TTTTGCTGGCTTCTAATGAGATACTTAGCTCCTTTCACCTTAAACGCGGAATCCACAACAACCTTCCCCCCTGTCCTGTTATATATGCTTTCTGCCTTCTCATATAAGCCATAATCGGCCATGGTGCTGTCATGCATACTCCCTGGAAAGTTAAATGTGGCTGTCCGAATTCTCCCATCTGGTGTAAATAGAAGGATGCTATTGACGTACGTGTCCATAACCCATGAGTTATAATAMAGGGCTTGAATATCCCAGGTCGTGGAATGCTGAAGTTTAATTTTCAGTCCATCTGCTGCACCCCAGACCTTATGTGCTCCAAGTGCAGGATATTTCCTTCCTATTGCTGCAACATATGCATCCACTTCTTCATCGCAGGGAGGTCTAATGGTTGCTTTTGGGTGTTTATGCAACACAAAAAGAAGGGCCCGTCTAGAAAATTTCAACCATTTATAGAGGGGCGTTGAGGTAAGCCCAAAAACCATACTCAATGTTCTGGCTGATGATCCTCGTGTTCTGTACCAAGTCAAGGCTAATCCAAGTCCAACTGTAGCAGTGAGCGCCCTCTTATTGCCCTTTGGTTTGCCTTTCTTAGTGAAATGTACTGGTCTGATCTCCAAGGTGTTTTTGTCCACTGTATATGCATCGAAAACTGGTTCAAAAAGTCTGAGGAGATCCCTGAAGACACGATGGTCCACACCACAGCAGTTGAGAAGAGCTTGGTTGTCACCACTATCAAACAAATGAGTGAATGCGGATTGAGTAGACTCCATTACTAGTGCAATTCGTGGAATCCTCCTGTCACGTCGACGCCTGTCTTCTTCAGACAGTCTTTGTTTTGCTGGTGTCCTCCTGCTCTCCTCCTCTTGCTGCCGACGGAGCTCCTCTTCTTCCTCGAGGGAAGCTGCCAAGGCAATTAAGACCATCTGAGGGGTCATGATTGTGGAATAGTGTGGTGTTTTTACTGTGAAGGAGCAATCGATGGCCAAATAGTGAGGATACCGACTGTTTTCTTTGTTGTTGTTATTCTTTTCTTTCAGAGGAGGATTCGTTGATTTTGGAGAAGGATTCTGTTTCCGAAGTTTTGAAGGCAGAGCTGGATTTTGTGAAATTGCATGCAATTTATACAGGATTCCAAATTCCGAAAATGGGGGGAAAATATGTAAGTTGAGCTGGCAGTCTGTGTCTTCTGTACCACTGAAACGTATTCCCGCTGACATAAACCGAAATATGTTTGCGGGAATTGGCTACGGTGCACTACACTGCACTTCACTAACTTTAGTGCATGGTAGCCAGTAACTTTGAAGAATTCTTACAGCCCTGGACTTACCAAGGAAACAAAAAGATATTTTTTTTAGTGTAGATTTGTACAATTCCCGGTATATTAATTTTTGCAAATAAATTAGTACCTTTACCAAAATACATTATTTCATTTTTAACTTAAACATTCAGTCATTATTGTGACAACAAGTCATTCTACTATCAATAACCTAGTTTTTGCACCGTAGTAAGTTTTTTTGGCCGCCGCCATCCTTTAAAAAAAAAACGAAGGCGGCGGCCGCAACCAATCACCCATTACTACTAGTAGTAGTGCTAGCACTGAACTCAGGCATAATTTTTTGCCTTCAGTAGAATTACACTTTTTCCTATGTAGTGCGTGGTACGGTAGGTTTTTTACAAACGCATTCTGTTGCTGTTTACTGAAACTCGTTTTATCAACGGGGATTTTCCCTGTCATTGATGCAGAAGCATGAGAATAACGACGGCCCCATTGTCTGATGCCATCCATCTTGCTGTTACTGCCAACCTCTATAACTACGTTAGTTCAATTCCAAGAGAAGATTTGTGTTTTCGCTTGGTGGCATTCGAAGAAACCAAAATATCTCAAAATCACAATGGAGCTGCTCCGTTACCAGATTTTTCTTGGAATCGCAGTGACCTTCCTCTCGATCTGGGTCGCGCTCATACAAAGAACCGATATAAATTCAAATTCGCTATTTTTATACTCTCCGATTTGGGCGATCCTTGGTCTAGGAGTCTATGCCGTGGCTTCAATTGTTTTGGGGTTAATCAGTTTTAAGGACACGCCAGAAGCTGCTGCTGAGATTGACCAGCAAGTTCTTGAAGCGAAGGCAGAAATGAAGAAACGAGGTGTCATCAGGGATTGATATATCAAACGATCAATTTGAGAAAATCTTGGGTGCTTTAAACATTCTCCTTCGGTCACCAAAAATTGGGTTTGGAGAAGACGATTGGTACTGCTTTCATCCTTCAATTTTGGAAGATTGTTAAAACAACAAGCGAAACGTCAAAGAAAAAAATTGATGCAAAAGCGCAGTTCAGCATTCCTCTCAGGTCAGATAGAACATTCAGATCAATCCATTTAATCCCAGTCATTCAACTGCAAAACGAGCATTGAATCGAATCAAAATTCAGAGTATTAGTTGATATCGGATCGAGATCAAAAAGTTGTTTCTCACTATGTTTATGATAAATGCACCCAAAAATTGCTTCAATACATTGGATGACTCTTAATGTTTTTGAAATTTTGTGTTGCGATTGGCGTTACTCAAAACCTGATTTCTAACGCTTGTTCGAGTTTGAATGGATCGAAAGACGTCACTATCGAATCGATTTCATGTACTACGTTTAAAATAATTATATTTCAACGCAACCCTTGACATGTGTTGTAGTGATCCCAGTTCCGAATGGAATCAAATGTTCAGTATGCGAAAGATCGATTGGTAGAATAAGTATGATCTACCACTACCATTAAAGGTATGTTTCATAATGATCAGATAAACATTTCGTTTTTATTAAAAGTAACTATCTACGAATACACTAACGGTCACCAACACACGGTATTCTAAGTTGTAAGCAGTATCAAAAAATTKAACTGTCAGATGGCTTTTCACATTATTTTTCAATTGTCTGTACGGGAGGAACTATGCGGTATTCGGTGCTCATCTGTTATCGATGTCGCACTTGCATTGATATAGACAACGCGGATTCTTGCGACTTTGCGATCTGTAGTAATTTTTTGGATTGTTCAAGTAGTTCCGTTTTCTACCTGTAACTTGTTTGGCCATGTCTATTCATTTTCATATTGGTTTTGAGTTCAATTCAGACACAAACTTTGTCAAAAATTCAAGTCTCTGCTTGAAATTCCAAATCAATCGTGATTACTCCTTTGCTTCTTCTGGTTCCTTTCCGATTATCTTAGCGACTACAGGTGTCAAAAGAACAGTTGGTGGGAATCTAATGGGACTTGCAGCCTTGTGCGCAGCATACGCAATCGCAACTGTTCCTGCCTTATCTGCCATTCCAGTATCTTCGATTCCGACTTTCGCCAATAGCGATCCTACATCGACGCCGTTGTCAACAAGAACATAGCACAGAGTAAAACTAACAATGGCTAAAGGAATCGAGGTTGCCAGATATGCAATTCCGTACTTCTTCAAAAGAGACTTCGCCGATTCTCCGTCCCCTTCCTTCGCAGCTTGTGCAAGGCCCACTTCCAATCCATATTTTTCGGTTGTTTCTTCCACTGAATTCTTTTCTTCTGTCACCTGCAGCGAAATTTCTTTCGTCCTGATATTTGAGGGTACTCTCGGTGTATGAAATGAATGAACCGATTCAAATGTAAGAAAGCCCAGAATTAGAGCGATCAGCATTAGGCGATGGTTAATCATGATCGTTATCGTCTCTTATTTCCTCCAAATCAAATAGTGTCGCTATTGCGTTTCTTTCAAGAGATGAGGTTCCATAAGCACATAGCATCTGGCATTTCGTTACAGAGCCGATTGACATCGTCTACTGTACTTTTGATTGCCGTGACGCGGCAACGATCGTAACTTCAAGAAAACTCTCGAGAAAACAACAAAAAGTGTCAAAGGTTTCCGGAGCGCAGTACAGACTATTCATCAATCCATATTACAGTATTACACACGGAACTCAGGAGAGCCCCCGATCGCGCGTTTTTTAATACCACGCGACAACAATGAAACTTTATAACGTCAAAAATGATCCGAACCGTTAAGTACTTAATGAAACAGGTTCTCCTTTTTGGGGGTATTATGTTATTTATTTGGGGGAGCATCCAAAAATAAAGTTAATTAATTGAGTCGCCGTGAGTAATTAACTTGAGTAATTAAGTTAATAAACCCCAGTAATTAAGTTAATTAATTAACGTCATTAACRTCAGTAATTAAAGTCTTCTAGCTAGTAGAAGTAGGAAGCAGTATCACTGAAATGAGAAATAGTAAATTACTGAAATTAATTACTCAAGTAATTAACCTAGATAGAAATAGTTAATTACTCGATTAATTAAGTTAATAAACCCGAGTAATTAAGTTAATTATTTTTTTGTAAGCCTGCCCCCAAAAGTTCAGAAAACTATACCCCAAAAACAAAGATTCTTCAATGTGCGTTAAATTTAACTGTTTGTCCAGTAAGCATTTTCGAGGTCTTAATTACTCGCGTGTTGGTATTAAAAAACGTGCGATCGGGGGCTCTCCAGGCCATACAGTACAGTCAGTACCTGGTACTCATCAATTGGCATGCAAATACCTAGTACGAGTACCTTACGCTTCCTCAACCCAAAATGAGAGTTGCCTAACACCTTTACTACCACTTCCTCCGCCCATGAATAATTGTACAGTTTGCACCTCTACGCTTGGAATAGGAAGAATAATATTTGGGCGATTGGAATGGTTCTTTTTGCACTCAACAGATCTATTACACCTTAATAGTCATGGAGATTAAATATATTTAATGTGACTGACATACTTGCAATAGCTACTTAAAGAGGGCCTTTTTTAGCATACTATCAATGTGATTTTACCATCAGTTGAGTCACACAGCAAACCGAAATAATGGTTTCTCAAGTTTACCGCATGGAACAAAACCAAATCTTGCGCATGTTTTTTGATGCTCCAATACAAATCTCAAAGCCCTTTTCCATGGAACATGTTCTCGTGCCCTATGTTTCTCAGCACAAATTTCACGCTCTTGTCTGGGGCAAACATCATGATTGTTCATCACCAGACTCTACTAGAATACAGTATTTATGACACTCCCCAAGTCTCCTCCACCATCACCCCTCAGGTTGTCACAACCCTGAGATTGGCTCTTGAGACTTCCACTTCAACTTGTTCTCCCTTGGAACCTATTCCACAAGCCTTTCCCTCGGTTCATCCCTTCCCTCATGAACACCCTGCTGTGGGCAGCGTCATCTCTAATAAACCTATGACCTGTCTTTGAGTGTCCTCCATTGACACAGGTGGGATCCATCTTCAGTGCCTCCCCAACGTGTTGGCACACTCACTTTCCCAGTCCGTTAATGTCCAGGGATACAGCAAAATCAACCTTGACACCACTCAGCTTCATGTATGTCATACACGCTGCGACACATTTAAACAACTTGGAAATCCAGCAACCAGAAGTACATGGGGTTCCAGCACCATTGAGGGCATTTCCCCCTTCAAACCGGGAGGCACTGGGCTCATCACCTTTGGCTCACATGCAGGCCGGCTCCAGAAACTAGGCAATGGTCCTTATGGTAGATGGTCCTATCACCAAATGAGGTTTCACAGTGATACCAGTATTCTCTTCATTGTTGTTTACCAGTGCTRTGCTCAMCCTACAAACAGAGTTGGATGCACCACCTTTCACCAACAGGGGAGTCTCTTCATTCAGGAAGGACATTTCATCTCAGATCTCAAWYACTTTGTCACCAAAGCTGTTGATACTCATGAAGGAACACTTTCATTTATTCTCATGGGAGATTGGAATTCACCCAGCGATTCACCCACAATTAAATCTCTAATGACTGACTTAGACCACCTTGTTGATCCATGGCTGCCACTCCATCCTAATCACCCTGATTTCCCAATGTATCACAGAGGACAAAGACRCATTGATCTTGCCCTTGTTTCTCCAGAGCTCTACCCTTACATCAAAACCTTCATCTACRAACCTTTCAAGTACCCTATGTCTGGTGATCACTGAGGATTCTACTTTGACTTGGATGTTTCCAAATTGTTTTTCCACGAGTCCATCTCACTGGTGACATCCCAAACTTTTTCAAGTAAGGACCAGAAGGCGATCAAAGTCTATCTTCAAACATTTCATGACTACATGCAAGTCCATCACCTCAAGTCTTGCATTGACAAGCTTCTTTCTTCACYTGTCCCTGATCACACAGAAGCTGAAGCTCTTGATACTGACCTCCTTTGAGCTAGTAGAGCTGCAGAAAACAAATGCCAAGTCTCACCCCGCGACTACTGGAGTGTTGATTTACATCATTTGAAACAAGAACTCTCTGTCAACAGCAACTTCATTGTTGGAAGCAGAAACACCTGGATTGCACTGCACTCTTCACCAGAGCTACTGCCCTGAGCTTTCAGATTCCCCTTGATCTCACTGTTCCTCAGATTCAATCCCATATACGCCAACTCCAGCTYAAAATCAAGACACTCCTCCAGGAATCTGCAAACAGACAAGATTCCTTTCTCCTTGAACAGGCCAATATTGCTATGGATGCTGACAATCCCACTCAAGCACAATGTCTCCGACAACTTTGCTGTCAGGAGAGGAGGAATGCAGCCTATTGCTGACTTTGTCACTGCCGCCACCAGGTTCAGACAGGTCCTGCTATTACAAAGATACAGATTCCACTGGAGTGGACATCCTTTGATCCATCTGCTCTAAATGCTACCTTGGTTGACCCAAAAACAGTAACTGATCCAACTGATTGGGTTACAATCACTACCCCTTCAGACATTGAGAAGTATCTTCAACTGAGGAACCAATGGCATTTTGGTAAGGCAGAGACTGACAAAACACCTTTCACACAGCCTCCATTGAAAACACATTTCAATTGGAGTGCCTCCACTCAGGCAGCCAAACTTGTACTTGATGGTACTTTTTCTACCAAAGACTATGACCACATTACTTTGCTTTTCCTCAGTCATTTGCACCCTGTGACTCATTTGGACTGCTCCTGCAGACTTTACCACCAAGTTGACCAAGTGGCGCAAGTCTACTTCTACTTCCCCAAGTGGTTACCATTTGGGTCACTATAAGCTGCTCTTCAGAGAGATCCATGAAGAAGATGATATCGTCCTGGAAGCTCTTCAGAAAATTCAGGCCTCTATCATCCATTGCTACATGATCTCCATTCTCAACTACACCATCAAGTACCAATACTATTTTCAGCAATGGCAAACCATAGTGAATTTGATGATCTATAAAGACCCAGGCAATACCAAAATCCACAGACTTTGAGTGATACACTTGTATGAAGCTGATTTCAATTTCCTACTTGGATCCAAATGGAGAGGTGCCTTCCAGAAAGCCAGAGCTGAAGGCACTCTACATCTATGTCAGTTTGGTGGAGCACCAGGCAAGGACGCACAGACAGTTACACTTATGGAAGAACTGCGCTTCAACTATTCTCAATTGACAAGGACACCCTTTGCTAACTTTGAGAATGATGCTTCTTCATGTTACAATTGAATCCTCACATCTCTCTCACGCCTTTTGGGGAGAGGTTTTGGTATCCACAGGGGCGTTATTGGAGTCCATGCACACACATTCCAACGGGCACATTACAAGCTGAAGGTTTCCAACCATGTCACTAATGCATCTTACCAACATTGCCCAAGGTTTCCAATTCACGGGACTGGGCAGGGATCTGCCAACAGTCCTCTCATTTGGGCTCTCCTGTCAAGTAGACTGTTTGAGGCTCACAACACTGAATCKTTTGGCATGACTTTCTCCAGTCCAGAAGGCACTCTCTCTTTCTCCATGTCAATCATTGGTTTTGTTGATGACTCTACTGTTGTCACCACCTCACCCCCAGTTGCTTCCCTTGCCAACCTCTTGGAAATACTTTGATCTGATGCACAACTATGGCACAATCTTCTTTGGTGTTCTGGTGGGAAGTTAGAACTTCCAAAATGTGGATTTCACCTCCTATACTACAATTTCCAATATCTYTCTGAGTCTCCACTGGATATGCTTCCTCCTCTGCTTCACACTACTGTTGACATGTTCYTCACTGATCCTACTAGAGACCCAGTCTGCATTGTTTCAAAGAAGATTTTCACTTGGTGCAAAAACCCCGGCCACCACAAGTCATCATGTGGATCCTACACAGCTCAGATGAACGTGTTACTTTCCAAAGCAGATTCGCTTTGCTCTGCCATACAGTGGTGCTCACCCAATTGCCCCACGCACAAATGCTTTATGAAACAGTGTTGCAACYTGCAATTAAGTATCCTCTGTCTCAGTCTTTCTTGTCTTCTGCTAAATTGCTCAGGTTGGAAAGGAAATACTTTCCATGCATTTTCTCCCTCTTTGRTTATGCATGCACTACTGCCAGAGCACTCCTTCATGCATGGGCGTTGGTAGTTGGAGCAAGGTTCATCCCATTGGAGGTCATCACTGGTGGAAGCTACGTCATCCATTTTTTGAAGCATTGGAGATCCCATGACATCTCAGGGAAGCTCCTTTGGACTGTCCCGTGGTGGTTTCAACTATTTTCAGGTCTCTCCAACCCTGTTCTTGAATGTCCCTCCATTACACTTTCATATGTCCCCAGCAATTTTTTGCATGGTGTTTGGAGGTATCTATAGARTTGGCCAGCAAATGTACGATATTATTGTACCTCTTGGGCCATCCACTTATTGGCTTGGCAATTGGCATCCTCTTGACGCCAGTCATGGTGTGTGGAATGCCTATCTGTCTAATGATCATCGCTTATGGACTTCACCAAACCCAGGTAAATGGAGTCCCATCATGTTGTTCTAACTCACATAGGCCCACCACAATCACCAAGTGTCTCTGGTAAAGTCCCTCCTGGCAACACCATACCTGTTTTCACTTGGACAACAAAAACTGATGGTTTTCAATACAATCCAACCAGTGGCTGTCACTCTCCAATCACCAGAAGTTCCCCTGATGAACTTCCTCACACATGGCCTGGCCTTCTATGCCGCCTCAATCCATGGCAATATCAGCTCCCAAAGCTTTTCCAGTTTGAGATTGGTTTCTCACCAGCATTGGATGTACTCAATTCCGGAACAGCTCTTCTCATGGTTTCAGATGGATCTGGCAGAGAATGTTGTATGTCCTTTGGATAGTTTCTGGGCACTACAGCTGGGGATAGAATTACCCATGCAAATGGCCCATGCTTTGACATTGAAAGTTCTCTTTGTGTTGAGGCTACTGGCTTGTTGTCAGCTAGTCTCTTTGTCACTCTGCTTGTTTCACATCCACACTACTGGAATCACAAGACTGGTACAGATGATGCAAGCTCATCTTCATCTTCCGCTGCCCCCACAATTTGCCCTACACAGGTTACTTTTCTCAGTGACAACAAGGTGCTCATCACTAGACTCCAATCCAGATGTGAATACACTGAGGTCTATGCCAATGCTACCCTGGCACCAGAATTTGACTTGATTGAACAGATCTTTCAAACCATCCCGTCTCCAATCATCACCTGCTCTTTCTCTTGKGTGAAAGGTCACCAAGATGACATCACTGARTTTACTCAACTTCCTCTCACAGCCCAATTGAATGTCAAAGCTGACAGTTATGCTGGTGCCTTTCAAGCTCAGCCAAATTTAATCACCCCAGTTCTACCTTCATGCCCAGCAGTTCATCAGATCCAATCTTGCTCCATCACCAGCCAATATAAGAGAGCTCTCACAGACTCTTGTTTGATCCCCCAATATCATGCATACTTGACAGACAGGAACCAGTGGTCACCACTGTCCTTGCCAATATTGCCTGGAAGTCCCTGAGCATTGCCATCCACCACATCTCAAGGAACGTCTTGGTCACTAAATGTTGCAACTACATCCTGCCCACTGCCATTGCTCTCAAAAGGTGGAACTACCAACCACATGATACCTGTTGCCTTTGCCAGATGCCTGAAGATTCTGAGCATCTCTTTTGATGCTCTCACCCATCACGACTCAGATGGCAAAGACAGACTATTGCCTCAATAGTAGCCAGTACCATGATCAGAGATATAGTATTCCATTACATTGTTTTTGTTTTCGTTTTCGTTTTCAGAAATCAACAGCCAATGAGGCTAATTCTTGTCATGTCCAATTCAAAGAACATCTGCTTTGAAGCCATTTGGCAGCCATTTATGTTGCTGAAGTTACTGAAGATACAACAATTTTAACGGGGAAGGAGGTGTATATAGTACTAGCAGGAGGACATGCTGCATTCTTGTGTTTATGATTCTTTCAGTTAGCTCCTAGTATTATTAGAGAGTTACAAGTAGAACTAGTAGTAGTGCTAGTAAGAATGTGGTAGCACCCATAGCACCACCACCAATACTAATAGGACTGTTGCACTAACTGTAAGACGCTGTAGTTTTTGTGGAAGCCTGTAATCAACCTGGATCAGCAACTTAGCTTTTTGATACTATTCTCATTTTGTAACTCCTTTTGACTACTACTACTACTACTACTACTACTACTACTACCCGCTAATATCTTCAACTACTAGTAAGATAAGCACAGAGGAGATTGGCATACTACCTTAATTATCTTTTCAGTATTTGTTTACTAACACTGGAACTCACCATGATATCCCACTGCCTTCAAAAACTTTTGCCCAATTTTTGAAGGCGAATAATCTTTGACGATTTCTAATCCCTGCACTTGGCATTGCCGCCTTATTTCGGGACTTTTCATCTTTTCCACAGCTTCATCAAATGACATGAGAGGTCTGGTTTTTTGGCTTGTTCGCCCATCGTTATATCTACGAAATGCACACGAGTAATTGTATTTGTCCATGAAATCTTCGAACACTCTACCACGAACCTCTAATAATATTGGCACTCCACTCCTCATCTGACTTATCGCTCTTTGAACATTTCCGTATTCTAATTTATCTGTGTGGTTCTTGGCTAAAACAACAAGGGCGTCAAACTTTCGAAAAAGATTGTAATACAACATTCCAGTTCCAAGTTGTGAGGACGCCATAGTCCGTGCCATATCACATTCGTCACTTTTTGTATTGAATAAATCGAGGTACCATGACGTGATGTCAAACTCCTGTATTTTCTCATTTATGAGCGGAAAAGCGTGAGAAAAAGTCTCCATTATATCTGATCGAATAATAATATAGCGAAACAATTTATCAAACGCCGATTTCAAGCCTCGTTATTTTGGGATCCGTATTCATGATTTGAAACTAAGCTTACCTTATCAATACAGGAATATTTCACATTCGGTGTCTTCAGCCTCGGGCATCCTCCCTCTGTGGGATCGAGACTGCGTCGAGTATTCCATATCGTTGCAATATTCAGGTGGCGAGGCGATTTTTGTTCGATCGAAGGCAAATATTCCGGATCTCCTAAGTTTGTCATGTCGGATGGATAACTGTTGTACCAGTGTTCCACGACCGAAGAGCTGTGATTGGGAAATAGGGTTGGACCCTGCCAACTCGTTTGGAATATGAGGTGCATATCAAGCGGGATGTTTTCTGCCTTCCATCTGTACTCATCGACAAGGTCAATAAATTTATTTCCAAACTGAGGAAACTCTTTCCGTGAAAGAGACTTCACGAAAATTGTCGCGTTATAGAAAATATCGTCGACATTCATACTATCATTGTTGTTGGGACCAATTCGTGAGATGCTGTTGTTTTTTATGTCGTGCGCTTTCTTTCCCCACATACTATGAATCTGCTCTATCGAAACACCAACAGTAATGTCAACGTTTGGAGCACAAACATCTGTCCAGCGCTTCAAATCGTTGCATCGCAGCCTGTATGACCCCCACGTAATTCTCTTGTTGAGTGAAGTGCACAAGATCCGAAAGTCTGTAGATATATTTTTCCTATGCAAATCGCCGTCGTACTGATAGATAGCATTATTTTCCTGTGGTGTCCAAAGGCCCCCGGCTGAATCAAGGCATTGCTGTAGAGTTGCATCGTTTTCATCGTGTAAAAGTAATGACGACTCGTGTTGCTGGAATAGATAAGTATTCGCAAGTAATGAATAGAAACCCACCAGACAAAGAACTAAGACTGAACAGATATCTAATCTAGCAACACCAGATCTCAAGCTATAAGCATCTTCGCTACCGCTTTCCGTGTTGCTGATCATGATGTTCCTACCACTTGTTGCGTCAACACGATCAACTTGGTTCAAAAATGTAAAACAAGGATTGCCAGTTGTTTAGCCCAATTCTTCATCGATCGCATTGCCTCATACTGAGAAGACCTGTAGGSTACAGAACAGTACGGTACGAGGAACGAAACTTACTGTAATGAGGGCGAGACAGGTCCGGAATCTGTACAAATTTTACATGGCTCTACGGAGCGAACAATACCCCCCCACTTGCCTTCGCAGATTCAATTGTCTCACTGTTTAAAAAATCAGTCGAAGAATTTATGTGTACTGCTAGACATTTGCCGAGGCACTATTTCTTGTAAACCACTCAGTCGATTGATCTGAGACTTCTTCCAGATCCCCCTGTCCATATTATGATGAAGTTATTCCAGTGGATGTGTGGGGGGACAGAAAGTGTTGTTTAATGCTCCATTTAGGGGGTGAGACAGGTCCTTGTTGTTGTGCTGGTGGTTCTTGTTTTAGTAATGAGTTTTGCAGTGGCTTTTAGTGTACTCATAGTAAACTAGTACTACTAGTACTAGTATCCTACATTGTTCCTCATCCCAGCACACATTTGCCTTCCCCCTTCCTCATACCATACTTAATAGTCTAGTAATCATTGTGAATAAATAGGAAGTACAAGGAAGTGTTTCCAGTTACCTTAAGCTACTGCTGTACCCATGACTCCTCTGACTAAGTCAAGAATACTTATGCTCATCCCCTACTTATACTTAATCACACATATCCACTAGTACTACTACGACTACTA